CCGCTTCAGAAGCCAGACCTTCTTCGATTGTTTCGTCCAAAAGCTCTTTCACCTCTTGCGCAAGCGCAGCATTCTCAGGGCTAACTTCGCTTTGGCTACTCCGAGCACTCGGGGCGACTGGGTCTTCGCCCTCCGGATTGCGAGAACCAGCCCTGGAGGGCACAGCAGGAGGAGCGATGTAAAGCTTGCTAAGGAGGGAGAAGAGGAGCTTCTTCTCTTCTTTAGAGCAGCGGTTGGGACCTTCGCTGATCCCCAGTACACGCTCCAGGATGTCCTTCACCAACGCAAGATGAACCCACCCACAGACGTTGGAACTGGCTGCGCCACCTGCGAGGATCTTCTCTCCGCCCAGTCCAACGACTCGTCGTTCGTCAGTCCACTCCGCGAGCATACCCAAAACACCACTCATTAGCGCCTTCAATTCCCGCTGTCCAACACTCTCATCGATGTCGCCATCACTGTCCTCTTCCGCTTCAAGTGAAAAGTGCTCCTCTGCCGCATTGAGGACCGCCCGGACAATCGGTACGGAAACCCTGCGCATATGTTCGGTATTTGAAAGCTTAGAGTGGCAGTATACAGGGAGGAAGTAGGCTAAAGTCTGCCGGAGTGCGGGGTTTTCGCGAGTACGGGGGTGAAAGAATGTGACCACAAGTGACTGCAAGAGGGTCTCGACGGATGTTTGGTTGTACTCCTGGATAGCTGGAGGGACATGAGCCCCAGAGGGAGTAAAAGTATTAGTGAGCAACAGCTTAGAAAGAGCAGTGGCGGCAGTTGCTTGGACACTGTTCGGAGAGCTCGACTTGAGTGCCCTAGCGAAGACTTTCAGCAACGGCTTCTGGAACACCGGCGGCGTCACAGTTTCTCCGTCAGGCTGGGTAACAGGCGCGAGCAACGATGGATGAGTCGTCAGCATGTCGCAAAGGATGTGTAAGGCCGTCGTCTGCAAAGCCTCGTGACCTTTGCTGTAGCAATGGATAAAAAGTGTCATGTTCTCTTCGGCCAAGGTCTGGTGTGGGGTGGACTGTTAGCATATATCAGAGGTATAGAGGGATAGAGACCAACCTTGTCAAGCAAGCAGCAAAGCCCGAGGCACTCAAGACCTCTTTCTCTAATTGGCGCCTCATGACTACGGACCGCAGGAACGACCAGGTTATTCAGCATCGTAACCAAATTCATGTTTGCTTGCAGATTGCCCTCCACATTTTGCAACATACAAAGGGCAATGTGAAGACATTTCATGTTGACCATGATCTCTTTGAGAACCTTTGCTTTAGCCTCTTCTTTGTTGAAAGGTTTTGCTTCGGGAGTTTCAGATCGCTGACGACTGGAGGATTCGCTGATCTCTGATCTGGCCGATACGAAGCTATCTTCAGTGGCAATGGTATCGTGAACTTCGGCAATGGCCTCCAGAACAACACTGCAGAACTCGTTCTCGGCAGCAGCGTTTGGCCCACAAACAAATCGCAGTGTCTCGATGGCAAGTTTAGTACATTCCTCAGGCAGCTCTGGAACTGCCAAGGATTCGCGTAGTAATGAGAACATCTTGCGTCGGCCAACTTCGTCACTGTAGTCCAGGGTCATGGCAATATGTAACAGCTGTTCAACAACAAACTCATGTTCGACAGAGTCATCGTCGTTGGCCGTACCGGCTTCCTTGGCCGTCTTCTTCCGCTGCAAGAGGTCGGTCATGTATTTGTTCAAGAAGTACGCAAGGGCAGTCACTTCAGGCATTTTCTCGTCAGCTAAGTTGTCGAACTTTCCGTCGTGCTCCACACGACAGAAGTCGTTGAATGAGCGAAGGAGGAAAGCTGATTCAGCCGTCAGGGACTCCCAGAACTCCTCATCGAAGACGACCGCTTCTCGATAATCAGGGCGACCTTCCCAGAAGCTACGCATGGCTTCATGAGCTATACCGGTTTCAATGCCAGAGTTCAGCACATCGATTCTCTCGAGCAGCTCCATGAGGGCTGGTATGTTCGGCGGAGAGCGTTGATTAGCTGGGCCTTCCTCGTCGTTATCCGTACTAGCAACATCCTCAATCCACCGATCGTAAAAGAGCTTCCCGGTAGCCTTCCTAACACTTTCGTCACGATCTCTTAGACCCCAACGGAGCAACTTCTCTCTCATTGATAGTGATAAATGTCGGAAGTCACCTAAAGTAGGGAGTAGACGCGCATATAATGCTCGCCGGGTGGCAGCGTCGAGATCGCGAGCTCGTTCAAGAAGGTATGGAAGCGTCTTGCGGAGAAGAGGTAGGTTGAGGAGTAAGGTTTTCCGCACCTCTGCGCTTGTATCATTCTGCATGATGTCAACAAGCTTCTCGACCAAGACTGCACTATCCTCATCATCTTCATCCTCATTGCCTGCCAAACGACCCAGACCCATCACAGCTTGCACTCTCACTGATGGTTCTTTATCTCTGATCCGCTTTAGGAGGCCCTGTCGGATAGTATGGTACAAGTCGTCGTCGATCGTCTCGAGAGAGTTCACAATGTGTGCAGTTATTTGTGTCGCACGGAAACGAACAGTCCTATCTTTAGCAGCTAGTAACGGCATAATTTTGGCCACCAGGCTGGAGGCCAAACGGGACGTGGGCGTTTCGGCGCTAACTTCATCATCGTCGTTCGCAAAAATTTCGGCATCCTTTTCGGATGCATGAGTCAAGAAAGTGCCAATAAAGCGCAAGATACGGTCGCCAACGGGTTCTGACTTTTTGATGGGCAAAATTCGTAGCATGCACCGAGCAATTTCCACATTAAATTCCGTTTCGGGGAGTGTCTCTTCACCTGGGATCAAAGTCTCCTCTTGAACCTCCTTACCATTCTTCTTAGTGCTCTTCTGTGATATCCCGCAGCAAGATTCCTGGAGCTTTCTGAGTCGCACGACGAGTTTTCGGTGTCCGGTTGTCGAGCGTTGCGCATCAGCGAAGAGTGAACAGACATCCCGGCGCAAATTGGGAAAAGCTTCGGGTAAAGGGGGTTCCTCCGGGATGGCGACGGAAGGAGTTACAGAGCCCGCGCGCCCGCCTGATATTGATGGTTGGGCGGACGGTCTACGCGATGTCGTCGCAGAGGTCGAACGGGCGGAAGATCGACCAGGCATGGTGTCTGAGCGTGGAGGGGTAGAGGTTTGAGTCGAATTGTGTCGGTCAAGCAAGGTGTTGTCGCATAAGTTAGACAGATAACATCTCAAATTTGTGTCACAGGTTAGATTCGGCGACCGGAACTCGTTGAATGGCGCGCCTGTAGTCGCTGGATCAAGGTGGGATGATTATTGCCGTCTGGTTGAGTTATCGCCAAAACATTGCGGACGATAACCCGCAGTCACGGGGTGAAGGGATAAACAAACAGCCCAAAACGGGAAAGACTAAGATAAGGGTTAGGGTTGGCAGTACATTATGTCATATCTGACCATGAAAGGCAGTACAGTTGGGTTTATAGACAAATTCTATATAACTTGTCACTATCTAATCAATAAATTACATACGGGTTAACGGAATATCACTCGATCAACTGGATAAATACCAAGCATTATTTAGTCAACGTTATGTGCAATATAGAAATGAGGGTCCTCTTCGTCCAAGCTATCACGCCATCGATCACGTGATTTTCTATCGCTGACTAACGCCGACCATCGGCATTTGGGAATCCGGGGAATGGAATGGTCTTCCTCCGTCAATTGTCTCTTGCATAGCAAACGGCGTTTGGGAGTAGCTGTGTTAGCCTTCCGAAGCCTTTTAAAATAATGTTCCGACAAAGTATTCGGCGCTTCGGCACCACTGCGCTTCGCGCAGCAGAAGGATCGACTGCCTATGGCGTCCGAGTGTCGCAAGCTCAGGGCTACGTTAACGGTCTTACAGAAGGTACGCTAAGAAGACGAACATAAAAGTTAGCTACGCGAGCAATGCCTTCTGACAGTTTGTCATTAAGCAATTGGGAACACACCACTTATCCGATTGAAGCGTCTTTCTGAAGAGACTGGCTGCAACATCCTCGGTAAAGCCGAGTTCCAGAACCCCGGAGGCAGTGTGAAGGACCGTGCAGCATTGTTCGTCGTCAAGGATGCTGAGGAGAAGGGACTTTTGAAGCCTGGCGGTACGGTGGTTGAGGGAACAGCTGGTAACACTGGAATTGGCTTGGCGCATGTGTGTCGGTCCAAGGGCTACAAGCTTGTCATCTACATGCCCAACACTCAGTCCCAGGGTAAGATTGACCTGCTGCGGCTGTTGGGTGCAGAGGTCTACCCTGTACCGGCTGTCGCCTTTGACAACCCGCAGAACTACAACCACCAGGCAAGGAGACATGCCGAATCCCTGGATAATGCTGTATGGACGAACCAGTTCGACAACACTGCCAATCGCCAGGCTCACATTGAGATGACTGGGCCGGAAATCTGGGCCCAGACTGGCGGACAGGTCGATGCTTTCACTTGTGCTACTGGAACGGGAGGAACACTGGCCGGAATTACCCGCTATCTGAAGACCGCTTCTGACGGCCGGGTGAAGTGCTTCCTTGCCGACCCCCCAGGCAGCGTCCTGCACAGCTACATCCAGAGCGGCGGAAACCTGACCGAGCGCTCGGGAAGCAGCATCACGGAGGGTATTGGCCAGGGCCGCGTCACGGACAACCTCCAGCCCGACATTGATCTTTTGGATGGGTCTCTGAACATTAGCGATGAGAAGTCCATTGAGATGGTCTACCGCTGCCTCGATGAGGAAGGTCTCTATCTTGGAGCTAGCTCTGCGCTCAATGTTGTTGCTGCTAAGGAAGTTGCCGAAAAACTCGGTAAGGGTAAGACCATCGTCACCATTCTGTGTGATGGCGCCTACCGCTACGCGGACCGCCTGTTCTCGAACACCTGGCTCCAGAGCAAGGGTCTGAGAACTGCTATCCCTAAGCACTTGGAGAAGTACATCGTGCTTCCCTGATTGGTTATGTATGTATAATGTTGTATAGACCAGTGTCAATATTATGATATCTGTGAAGCATGTCCAGTTACAATCATGAGACAATTTTAGTTCAGCTGGAATGATCACCGAGCGCCATGATGCCACCTTTGCCCGATCACTAATTCGCTAAACAATGATAAGATCACTTGCCCTTCCATATCCATTATATCCCACACCCCTCAGATTCCACTGCGAATGCTCCTGCTGCAAATTTCCACCCCTATCAAACGCGCGACTCAGAATCTGCCTTTCAGTTCCCCTCTCAATGTTGACCTTCGCCCTCCATAAAACCCAACACCATTTCCTCACAAGGGAAGGACCCTCGATCTCAGCATCCACCCATGTCTGCCCCCCATCCGCAGAAACCTGCACACCTGTAACCGGGCCATCCGCGCCATGCGGCACTGCATACCCCTTCACCTCCACAGTACCCAATTCTGAAAGATGAACAGTTTCCCCATCCTCCGGCACGGCCACAACTGAATTAATAGGCATATCACACATAGCAGGTGTGCGGCCCCAATAGGGCTCAGCGGAAACACGATCGACCGCATCCGGCGGCAGAACCTTGTAATCGCGCTGCTGGTAGAAATTCGACGATTCATGGTCTTGCACCGTGATACGATCGAGCCACTTGACCCACCGGGCACCCGCAACACCGGGGAGGACCACTCGGACCGGGTAGCCGTGGTTCGGTGTGAGCGGCGAACCATTCATCTGCCGCTTGTCAGCTCTACCAAGAAAGATCCGCAAGAAATGAAGTAGCTCACCTCCCAAGCCAGAATAGCATCCATATCCTCATCCAGACATCTCTTTAACTCCACACTACTACCGAACCAATCATCCTCCTGACATTGTACCTGGTAGCATGAAAACGCAACATATAAACCCTGATTCAAGTTCGACGTCACCCCGGCTCGACGTAGAACGTCGCTCAATCTCGGACCCTTCCATTTACAATTCATCACAGCTGCATCGCCCCAGTCGATCCCCTGGACTTCTTTGAGTAGTGTGCGCATGGCATGTCGCCGGTTCCCCGCGCATTCTAGAGCGCAGATGACTTCGTGCTGGGAGAACTCAGTTTGGAGTTGATGGATGGATAGGCGGAGTGGGCTGGGGACATTGCCGTCTATTCGGACGGTGTGAGTGTCTGCCGAGAGATGCGGGATGGGGCCATGGTTGCGGTCATAGGAAATATCTCCTGGGGTAAAGAAGCTGAAATATTGTCAGTAAGACGGCTTTGGATTTCTTTTTGGTGGTGTTACCTCGAGACGAGGGTTTTGACGGGTGGTTCCCGGTTTAGGGGGTTTTGGACGGAGTATTCTGTGTGCTTGATTTTGTTAATATTATTCTTATCAGGGGGTTAGTGTATCAGGACTTACTGTGGAACTCATTTTTCATTGTTACGAGTGCTGGTTTAGGGTGAGATGGGTTTAAGATGGCTGGAGTTATACTCGTACTTCTGACGTCATCCCTACCCCAGAACTGAATTATTTACTCTTTCCTTATTCTCCATCTCCTGGTTCATAATTGAAATAAAACTGGCTTCAATACCCCCAAGGCTCCCGTGTATACTATCGGGATGCCTATGTATTTATTGACTGTATGGATAATGTAGTAGTATGAGACTTTTTAATACTCCATGATATCAAAGCCTCAGCTAGTACTGGACTTTTTAGCTTTCTAGCTTCCCAATATTCTGATATCCTAGGATACTGAAAAACACGCTAATATCGTCTATAGCCAGGCTGGGTCTATACATTTATTATATTTACTATTGAAAAATTCAAAATTACAGTCTCCTTCAATAATTGCAGAGATATAACCAACACCTTGATAAATAGACCACTGGCTGCGTGTTAATACTGAATTGTGGTTAGATGTCCCTGTAGGTTGGCTTGACTATACCCTTCTCTAGTGAGCTGAGCTCACCTTTGGTGAGAGTACTTCGAAACTTGCTCAATAATTATTGCGTAGCTACACTGGGCTGCCAACCCAGTGTTTATTATAAATATAAGAAAAGTTTGGTAGCCATACCCCACCCACTAGACACCATTTAACACTTTCAAGCGCATACGTCCACAAGGTATGAAAGGTAGAGCTGTACTCAACGCGACGTGATTCAAAGCCACGGAGAGGCATGGATACTCGGGTAGTGGGATGAGAAATATATGACATAGATCCATGATCGTGTCCAATTTGAGCCATTATTGGGCTGATTGACCCAAGCTCAAGGATGGAGTCTTCGAAGCGTCATTTGGAAGGAATGAAACTCTCACGACGTATGTGTTTCCAGATGTATATCTGTCGCTTAAGTATATTTAGATACAAAACTTCAAACGCGAACCAAATCCAACGAACCCGTCCAGCCCAACTGGTTGTACTGAGCACATTAGAACAACCTGCAGAAGAATAAGTCAAATGGGTACGCGGCCAACCGCTCTTGATTGAGTTACTAATCAACCGGAACGTGCAGTCTGAGCCATTCATCCATTACCAAAGTCGCTGGATAAGCCGGGTCACCAAGTTGAAGAAGCATTTGGATGTGGCCTTCGAACCCCTGGCCCTCGAACACGCGCAGAACAGCATCCGTACCTGCAGCCTTCAGCGCCGCGACTAGTTCAACTGCCTGACGAACACCCCCTTGTCTATGGACATGGAGAAGCAGGAAAGCACCGACATTAGGCGCGTGAGCATGATAAGTAGGCGACATAGCGTGTAGTCGCTCGGGATCGCTACCGAGTCCGTAAATTGTGTTGTCCGCGACTGGCCCAGGACTGTCAGTGATTTCAGCAAGTGCGTTGTAATTCGAGCCATCCAGGGAGATAACACCGCGGACGATATCAAGACTGATTCCTGCACGCTCCAGGTAACTTGGATCAGTCCCCAATAGGGTAACAACATGCGCACCGGAACTGTGCCCCATCAGAATGACCCGGTCGGGATCAAAGTCAAGTCTAGCTGCGTTCTTGACCAGGTAGCCTACCGAGTCGGCCACCTCCTGCACCTGCTCTTCGACAGTGATGAAGGGGATCAGGGTGTAGTTGACGGTAGCGAAGGCATAGCCCTTGCTGATCAAATGATCAACCTTGGCTGAGCCAATTAAATCCAAATTTGTTCCTGATCGCCAACTGCCGCCATGGACGAAGACAACAATGGGAGCCTTGGATGATGTGGCCTTCCAAAAGCGTAGATGCTGGGTGTCTTTCTTCCCATATGCCATGTCTGTGCCTCCGGTGGGTTGATCTGCGTTCATTTCAGAAACTAGCTCTTCTACCCTAACTGCCGTGATGCTCTCTGCACTCGTTTGAAATATATCCAGCCCGGTGATCTCTTTCCCCCTAACTGCCATAGCGATGGAATCGAGCTCAGACATCGTTGGCTTCTTATCGTCGGTATTGGCCGACCGCAGTTGACGTGGTTAGTCACGGGAGACGGCCTCTATTCGAATAATGTGACCTAGCAAGTTTATAATGACCTTACTGCATCAGTTAGGCTGCCGAGATGATGACGCGGATGTTCCCGGTTACGGAGATACAATAGTCCTTGAAGGCGTGATCTAAATATATTGGCCAATTTGTGCTAAAGAGAGATTTAAATTACAGAGAGGCATATAAATACACCAAATGCACTTGCAGAAATGATCCAGTTTATTCTTTATCACGTAAAGCTGTGTTATCTATATAGAAGACTCCCCACTGTGAATTAAGTCATAGATAATTTTGTGCTTTAAAGGGGATAAGAGTCAAGACATCCCATATATTGTTCTGGAGGCGGGGATAGACTAAAAATAAGTGGAGATAATGCTACTCCAAGTGCTCACTGAGCACTTAATATTATACTTATACGCTTTCAACATCTTCTTTAATAGCTATTCTATATTTTGTTTGACTGTCATGGAGGTTGAAATCGTTGATTATTTTTATTTGTGAGGTCTTAACTACGTGACTATATAACAAAGGCGTGCGTAGGCGCCAGGCGGAATCGGGAATCCTCGGTCAACATCCTTGAATGATATGTTATAGTATATTTAATCCTGACATGCCATCCTCTCTATTCCCCTTGTGCAAGAGATAGTAATCAGCATAGAATTTTGCACTTAAGTAGGCGCTCCAGCTTGCCTTCGAGTTGAGGATCAGGTATAGAGTGGTACGCTTTCTTTAGATGGATAGACGGATAGACGGATAGTCTGATCTCCCGCTGTGAGAAGATAGAATCTACTTTAGATTTTAATATTAACAGCTAAAAATCTACCTTGAAATATAGGGAAGTCTATTTAAAGAAATTAGATCAAATAGGATTTACTGGATAAGATTTAAGTTTAATTTCTTGATGTATTTAATACTCTGTACTGGCTGAGGAAGCGGGGACTGACGTCCGCAGTCTTCAGTTATCGACCAATGAGACCAGGAATGTAGACCAGCCAGAACCCTGATACATTCGCGCAGCACCCTAATAGTAGGTATGTACACAGAATATGGAATGCTTGCTTCCAATCGCTTGGGTTCGCTCCGCTGTGCAATAAATCAGATATGACACCAGTGGATGTTGGGAATGCCCCACATTTATATATTTAATAGCGGATAATTGACCCGCAACTCTGTCTTGGCGCTCTCCGTCCGTTCTATGCAGTGCTCGCCCTTGCTGATGAGTATGCGCCATTCGAAGGTGCTGGTGCCATGTCCTCTTGGAAAATCTCTTTCCCTACAACTCTCCGTCAATTCAAGGATGGTACCCCCACAGACGTTAAGACCCATGTGCCTTATACGGCTTTCAGCAGCGGGGATTTGCTCGCTGAAGAAACGTCGAAGGTAGTCTCATCAGGGGTGAATGATGATTCAAGTGACAGCGTTTATCATGGGAATATTCCCACAGTCCTGGCAATCAACCTCTCCAGTGACTACACGAAAGAACGGGATGAAGTATCTGATGCAAATGATAAGATTGAGTTGTCGAATTACGGTTTGCGTCTGCCGTTCTGGACTGCGACAGCGAAGGATGCGACTCTCTACATTACCCCAAAGCTAAAGGAGACACCCTGCATCTCATCATCCTTACCAGTGACAGCCTGTGGAGGTCTCGGCGAACCCTCGAGCTATGACTACACCAATGTTCCCAGTCTCCTTGAGACTTGGACAATTCAGAACTTGATTTCAGATGAAGGCAAGCCCCAGCGCGCCTGGCTTCTTGTCCCCTTTCCGCTGTAGCTTGAAGTGAACTTTGTGTGATTTCAACTGCTTCTAGGTCTAGTTGGTGTATTTAGAATCTACCAATTACCATATTTCTCCGTGTTACTCAACTGTACGAAACCCCTTCAAATTACAACGAGAACTACTTGCTGGGCTACAAACAAAGTGATGAATCCTTGTATGTGTGGAACCTCTGGGCTACCTCTTTTACGTCACCGCAGAAACTTCAGCGTGAATATAAAGGGCGAGAAAAAGCCTTCGTCACACGGTTTATCCAGAGTGGGCTGTTCCCATCAGAATACGATTTCGTCCTTCCGCGAGCTATGTGGAAATAGGGTAGGACTATTCGTACCCTTGAGGGACCAGCCATAATAATTGTGTCATCAACGAAGACAAAAGGGGATCTTTCTAGTGGAGATGCTCCCGACCGGAGTTGCATGGAGAGTAAGGTCTCTTCAATCGCTCATATTCACGAAGTCGGTGATTCCGAAGATATAGAAAGCAGTACTAACACTCTAGAGCACCCATTACCTCTCTATCCACCAACTTCCCAGCAAGTTACCGTTCACTGTGAATTAAGAGTTGCTAGTCCTTATATTGTTCTAGATATTCAAGCACTGAGCGGTTACGCTGGCATTGACACTGATTCCGGAACTCATGGTGTGTGCCCGATGATACCTCTAGATAAAGGAGGATAATATATAGCTGATCATTCGCAATTGATCTAAACTAAATGAAGACGTAACCGAAAAACAAAGGTGTCTGTTCAAATAGCTTTGATTACCCTTTTAGGCTTCATCAATTTAAAGCATACTACGACCCACAATGCTGCCCAGTAGATGCACCGGTAAATAATCTCAATGAAAGAACCCCAAATGGACAAAAAAAGCAAAGCTATTGTGTCATTTTGATGCTATGATATAAAACTCTATCCAAGCCCGCATTCGCTTCGTAACAGAACCCACTCGCTAGAAGACCATAACTAACAGAACCGAAGGTGAAGAAAAAAACAACAGTAGGATAACGCTGGCTTGCGTCAGGCATGCCAATCCTGAGCCGTCATTCATGGCGCTGTACAGCCCCTTTAAGCCTTGTTGGGGTAGCCAGAAGCGCGCTGCACGAAGATGAAGGCAGAGGTGAACTCTATGTTTCGAGTTAGAGGCGAATCATAGGAGGGTATGTGGGTATGTGAGGCGGTCCAGGGATACTAACCGGTGAAGGAGACCTGCTTGTCGAGAGTAGAGTCGAAGAACTCCTCGAATGCGGCGGCACCTTGTTCGCCGTAGGCCTGCTTGAGCACGTCCAACTCGACCAGTCCTGCATTGTATGGTTAATGTCCGACTTTTGTTGAAGCCGTTGAATGTATCAGATTGCTTACCATCGTTATCGCCGTCCTGAATACAATGTGTCAGTTAATACTTCAAGGTTGTGGTTGTGTATGGAAATATGATTGACATACCATTGCCTTGAACTCCTGCAGCAGACCCTTGATGGTGTCCAGGGAGTAGGTAACATCCTTGGGAATAATTAGCACAATGAACCATGGCGATCAATGAATATGGTCCTTACGGCGGGGTCGCTGCCCTCCATGACAGTGTTGTAGAGCTTGGTGCTGACCATTTTGGCGAGTGTTAAAGAGTAGATAAAGTTGGAAGGGTGTGTTTTTGTTTGAGTGACTGAAGTCTGAGTGATTGAAGTCTTGACTGTTGGAGTGATGTGATCGCTGGGCTTGTTGATGTTTTGGTTTTGGAGGGGCAGACTGGGCCTCTTTATAGATTTTCTTCTTACAGCAAAAGATTGACTTTTGTATGTGAGAGCTGCTATGAGACGCAAATAGAAGTCAACTGCAGTCGCAAGTCCACTTGCTGACCGGTCAGTGGGGGCGGATGGGGCCAAACTGCCGCCGCATAGCCCTAATCTGCAGTCGACGCTACTCCTTTGTATGCAGCTCAGCTCACCCCACACATATCATCCATGACTGTGCATATCTTCCGACAAACCAGGTTATGTCTACTAGAGGCTCTATCACATCTGGGGTTACATGTTGGTCCAATCTTCGAGCGTAAGTGATTTTGATGAACTCTATAGCCTGGCTAGTAAGGATTCGGAAGACTCATTGCACGTATAACCATGTCTCATATGAAAAGTTCAGAGTCGCGGAATACATTCCATTACCTGCAGAAAACGAATGTGCTAAGATCACCTTGCATCTTGATTGTAACAGTTTCGCGAAGAAGCGCCCCAAAAGTTCCGGTGGCATAAGCTTGTGGTTGTGGGGGCGGCGGGTATAACCTAAAATCTGACGCTTACTCGGCTAATTAATTAAATTGTATTGTTACATAATTTGTGGCCCCCACGGCATATGGCGCTTAGCGCAGCTGGGACAATTATGGAATGATGGAAAGGAGTTAGGGTACACTCATCTATTTTCTTCAGGGGCCAAAAGTGGTCAATACATAGCTGTAGACGGAAGGTGGAGGTGCTGGACAAGGATGAAGACTCAGCTTCGAATTCTACTCTAGGGCTATTCTATAACAGGTTGCCCCAAAGACAGTTAGGTAGAATCAAGGCATTCTGGGGTTAGTTTAGCTCAGAGGAAGGGGCCAATGTCACTCTTACATTCTACACCTTTGGAACATGATTAAATGCACCGGTTCTTCGGGCTGCATCTAGGATGTCCACCTCCCAATGGTGGATTTACATTAGTAAGGAGAATTTGATCTTACTCCAAAGCTATCCATCTAACTGTAATACGGCTAAACTGATTCATAAAGAGAGATAACCTACGTGTAAAGCGAAAAACTGGGTGACTGATTCGGGGGGTAATCATCAGGCTCTGTCTTTGTCACCCCGGGTAAGAGAAGCTCGTGGCATTTGTTCAATAGTTTCTGCTTGACCTCATCATGCCCTCTCCATCTGTGTAGCACCCGGCAGTTCCCATACAAGTTGAACGCTTCGATAACCTGATACGGTGTGGGTGGTACATGGTCTTCTAAGCTAGAGAGCTTGAACCCATATATGTCTTTGAACACCCTTCTCCATGAGCCGGCAACGGACTTGTCCTTCCTTCCATAATGAGGAAGTAGTCTTCTCGGATGTTCGCACCATAAGCTGCCTCGTTTCGTGGCTGGTTTGATGACGACCCCGTCGTTGATAACCCAATATTCAGGATGGAATTTCGGATTTCATGGTAAGGGCAACTCTTTTTGTCAGGTTATCAACGGCTCTTCTAATCTCTCGGAGCTCGGAAAGAAGATCGTGCCCCAGTGGGTTTGCGAGGGCTTTTGTGTGCATATCCATCGTGATAGGAACGGGGTTAAATAGTTCCCGTTCTAATGAACGTCTATGTTCCCAATATATCAGTCCAGAGAACGGCTAGTGAGTCAGAATGAAATACAAAGTCGTAAGGTAGCTGTGATTAGGTAACGTACTGCGGTGTCTCGCCACCTAGGCCTCTTCGGGCTTTGCTCGGGGCACACTGACTGTGATTAACCTCTTTAATATTCTATCTTTGTCGAGGATGATTATAGTTGAGGGTCAGAGCCAGAGAGACGATGAAAGATGCAGAAGAAAAAGATTAGAGGGAAACACGAATCTTGGTGAAGAGAAAGCCGATAGATTCACTACTTAAACAGAAGGAGCGGATCCCCTATTAGAGTCACTCCATTACTCCCCTCTCTGTATCAAGGAAGCAAAGCATTGTATGGAAGTGAAGTACCCAGACTTATACAAGCAGCTACTAGTACTATGTCCTAATTCTCATCGCTTATTTCTTGTTTCTTTGGGGAGATGGGGAGGATTGAGTGGAAGAAATAAGCACCAATTCATGTCCAACCTTTATCTGTCCATTCTCTTGCACGCTTGCTTAGATGTAACATGCTTAGAATATTACAAACAACATATAACAAGGGAGGGGTCAGCAAGAGAAACGGGTCCTGTGCCGTTGTCCATACAACACACCTCAAAGAGTAAACAAGTGGGTTGGAGGAATATCATGCACCACTCTGGGGCTTTGGGGAATCGAGAATCACTTCTAATCAAGTACATTGTGGCGTAGACTGAAGGGAAGATCTGGTTAACATCAATGGTCCTATGTCCATACCCTAAGACAGACACCGGATACACTGCATTCCATTCATAAGGAATCATAATATCTGTCGGGAACGTATAAGTTCTCAAATATATATCAGCCTTTATGGCGAAGACAATCATGTATTCTGGAAAAATCACTACAAAGTGTGAGAGTGCCGACACATTTAGCAATTACTTCCCGTGTTATGAAAGCGGCTTAAATATCGATGGCGGGTCGGGTGTCTTGGCGTGAGGACCTTGAGGGTGAGGACCTTGGGGAACAGACTCAGACTCAGTCCAATTGGATGGATGGCATTCCAGATCTGTGGGGGGTTCCTGGATCTTAACCTTATCTAAACGTCAGAGATCGCCTTCTGAGCCCTATCTCGATCTATATTCTATCCAGTCCTCCTATACTTGGCCTGATTTCGTTCCTTGTACAGCAGAATACCCCTTCTATCGGTCACTCACCCATCGGTCCTCGCTTCGGACGCAAAGAGGATAGCGCAGATTACCTAATTCCCTCCCAGCTGCATCGCTGACTACGCAAAACATAGCATAACTCTTTTATGACACACTGATACGGCAAATTAAACGAAGCCTTTCTGACGCCCGGAAAAGATCGTGTCGACCGCGTACAAGTGGTCACAGGTGTACTTTGCATTCTGCCATCATGCAGAACTGCGGGTCAATATAACGAGAGTTACATCGACAGCCGAGACTTAACACCTTTCAATATGAGAACAGCAGACACTAATATTGATTGACCTACACCAGAAACACCCCTAGACTTTCTATCTGGAGGTATTCGATATCTTTCAGTCATCTATAGAGAGGGAGCATTTTCTCATGCAATTGAACATGAAAAGCGATACCCCAAGAGCCCAGTGTGGCAAATTGAGTTCAGCGACGGTTCCCTTCTGACACATACTTGCCTAAAGCTGCTTGGCGAAACATGACAAGTCAATCATATCCGTGGGCCTTCGCAGAGAATCCACTAGAATGGCTTTTCCCATAGTGGCCTGACGATAATCCCGGTCCCAATCCGACTAATATTGCGCATTCTGACACGGAAGGTTTTCCCCGTAAGGCTTTAAAATGCTTGATCGAGCCAGTTTTCCCCTTCTCTCTTTTCCATCCGCTAAGTTTTCCACATCGGCCTGAATTGTCCTAAGCGGCGGGTATATCTCTCTCGCCATGGTCCTACACTTGACGCAGCTACAGCGTCTTTCGCTTGTGATCGGTATCTCACTTTGCTTCTTCCTCGCTGAAATTTCCGGTATCTTATCTCTCCTGGATCTAGCAACACAATCTCACTTACTGTCACTAGTTGGATTCTACACAAAATCACTCGCCCTCGTGGCTGACGCATTCCATTATGTGAGTCGGAGGGATTTTCCGCGTCGGAGCTTGATGGCCGTGCTAACGTATGCAGCTCAATGATATCATCGGATTTATCGTGGCATTTGCTGCTGTGAAGGTACGTTGGCTGATTGTTTCAACAAGACAGGTCGTCTAATACAAAATAGATATCCTCAAAGAAGGATTCGCCAAAAGACCTCTCCTTTGGCTGGCAGCGGGCTCGCCTACTCGGGGCATTTTTCAATGGTGTCTTTCTTCTCGCCCTTGGAGTCAGTATTTTCCTACAGTCGATTGAGCGATTTATCAGCCCGCAAGGTATACCTAACTGCCTGCACCTTTGAAACCAAGCTGACAGGTAGTTTAGTGGTTGAAAGTCCAAAGCTGGTCCTTATTATTGGTTGTGTCGGGCTTGCCTTGAATATACTGAGCGCGTCTTTCCTTCACGGTTCGTTCTCCCGAATCTCTTACCTACGCAGAAACTAATTGATGGGGGTTTATTCATCCAGAGCACGACCATTCCCATGAGAACACTCCCGGGGGGAACCTAGACGCGAGTGCTGAAAGTGGCATCAACGAGGTAACCGAACCTGTTAATTGTGAATACGAGAAGAGTACTGAAGATCCGTCACAGGCTTATACCTTCCATACCGGCCACAGACACAATAACATCCAAGCTCAGAAGAAGGGATACGACCTTGGCTTGCTCGGTGTTTTCATCCACGTCCTTGGAGATGCCTTCAATAACGTCGGGGTCATAATCTCTGCGTTGATCATCTGGCTCACACATTCTGCCTCCCGGTACTATGCAGACCCGGCTATTAGTATGGCAATCGCCCTAATGATCATGGGAACATCTATTCCCCTCGGTTTGTGCTGCCCTTTTCTATGAATTACCTTATTTTCCAGACTAATCTTCCATCCAGTAAGGAACTCCGGCCTTATTCTGCTGAACAGTGTCCCCAAGGGAATCGATCTGAGTGACGTGAAACATGACCTTGAACTAGTACGTTTCCATCCCGATATACCCTGCCTGCCCCATGCCTGGACTTATTTTTGTATTAACATGAACATGAATCAGTTGCCCGAAGTCTCATCCGTTCACGAGTTACACGCCTGGCGTCTAAACCAGGAAAAGGCACTCGTTTCTGTGCACGTTGGCCTTCCCGACATTCGCATCTCAGAGTTCGTGAAGCTTGCAAAGACTATGAACGAGTGCTTCCACAGCTACGGTATCCATTCTGCAATTGTGCAGCCGGAGCTCAGTCAGACAGTAGAGAACACCACCACGAAGGGAGCCGAAGGGAAATCAGAATCATGTCAAATTACTTGCGGCTCTTCCTGTGAGCTGCTTACGTGCTGTGGCTAAGGGGGCCAAAGGCAATACTTGGTCTAACTTAGGTCATTGTATTGGTTCTTCACGTTACAGGGGATTATTTAACTTCTGAGGGTGTTGAGGGCTGTGGACTCAATTTACATAACACAATGTTGAGCATGGTAGGAGATCCAGTATTTATTTTCTCCAGGGGCTTCCTTGATAAGTGAGGCTGGAGAAAATGGAAGATCCAGATGTAATTGACGCTGGAATGACCTGCATATCCAAATAATTGTAACATGAAGTCACCTTCTCCGCTCAAGGGGACATGAACACATGATCTACATCGTACAATCCAAAAGGTTCTACAACTTATCAGCACCATCTCTTTTCTGTTGTACTTTACTGTAGGGTATAACTAGAACAGCCTCCAATAAGGGACATACAGCCACATCTAGGAAATACTCTGTCTGGAAACTCAAAGGCACAAGTGGACCCCAAGTGTATTGGAAACAAGAATAACCCCGATAACTCCACTTTCAGTAATAACTAGTAACTGTTTCATCGCCTGCGAAATTATTCGTTTTGCAAAAGTAAAAGACCGATATGAAGGCCGTCATCGGCCATGAGAAAGCCCCAGAGCCCAACCACTTTGCCGTGAGGAATACTGACTTCACGTTCATCAGGGGTTCTGGAGCTTAGGACATCCTGTCTGAGAAGCCCTGAGAATAAATTGATATAGTAACGCCAGATGGAACCGCCCATCCCGGGCCTCGTTACTTCAGTGGGAGGTATGTCGATTAGCCCACGGATAGTTCTTTGCCCGGTGTCCCGGTGTACGGTATGAAACTGAATCACTGGTTAGTACTCGTGTCCTCGGAAAGTCCCAGAGACTCACATTTATCGAAACAAGGCCCACCCTATCTCTAAATAACTCAACTATAACAATACTATCACTCCGGCCGAGCTCTACGGAACGTGGAGTTTGACGTCCAGTGATATCACCTATGTCTCTAGAGAAACCAGATTGATAGGTAAGCCGTAGTCCAACTATAACATACGGATGCCCAAGGCTGTAGAACCCCGTCACAGACGAGAGATTGTCATCCTGGTTTGCCTCTTTGAATAGAGCTTTCTGCGGTGCAATCCATGGACGATAGATAGAAATCTTTGATGGATCCCAGGTTACCAGCTGTGTTCCGGTGGCCTTGGGGCTGGAGATGACACGTGGAAAATCCCATGCGTCATTAAATACCCAGGCAAGAGCTGACTGGACAACTTAGGTGAGAAATACTGGAATATACACGGAAGGAAATTATTGGGTCTTCTTACCAGCTCTTCCAGACGGCTTTCCGGAAAACGCAGAATATTGTTATGTTCATCCATCGATAATGAGCAGTCATTGGGATACATTTCAGTGCGCATAGAAGTGGATATTGACACTTGGATTACACGGCCAAGATGATATCTTCCACTCGAAGACATTGTATCCTTAGTTACCAGTATTGTTATTCCGGTGATTCTCTCTCCTTGCGTCAAGGTTCAATGAGCCTCCTTCCGAAATCCACTGGCCGACAATTGCTGGTCACCGGGATCCATAATATTCTATACATAGGCCAGAAAGCTCACTGGAACGGCGAGGGCGCCCATCACCACCTTTTGAGAATAATATTTTCTTGACCCTATCCAGGGCCGCAGACGTACAGACCAGACATTGGTTGGATCTCTCTTTTATCAGATCGGACCCTAACGGCGGGGCTGGTTTTGCCTGTGAAGAAGTAGAATCTAGCAAATGCCCCACGCCACGACTGCTGGACATGCTAGAATCCAATCTTTCATACTGCAAATGAAAACTCTGAAACGAATGGTTGCTAACCTTGATCACACCAGTTATAGTGGGCTCTTACCACGATAGTAGACTGTGTACTTACCTCTGGATGCGCCGCGAAACCTGTTATCTGCTGACCCTCGGGAGCTCGAAGCGTTTCAATAGAGTACTCTTTGCTGGCTTTATGTGGAGAAAGGTCGTGTGGAAACCTTGGAGGCGTTGGAAGTGAGAGCTTCGTCGAAGACCACTCTTGGAGCTCATTCGGCGTGAAAACAGCCTTATTTCCATAATTCGTGTCGATCTGACAGCCGGAAATGACGCGTTCTCAGAATGATACCCCTAAGAGGAATGTGTTGACATACCTGAAGAGAAACAATTCCACGAGGTGTAGCAGCCCGCTCATATGTAATACTGACCACCCTCTCCCCTGCAGGTCCGTCAATGAAAGACGATACCTCCATTCGACCCTGACGGCCAAAATGCATACTGTCTTGGTTATCGAAGTAAAATGTCAGACCTACGATAGGAGCCGAGTATTCCTGGATGTGTGCCACTATCCTTGTGAGATGAGCCAGATTTTGGCCATGGTTACCACCAAAGTCCATAACCAGCATTACATTGAATGATCCGGGTGGAAAACACTGCAGGGCGGGTGTCAGTGGTCCCCTTGGACAAACTGGTGTCCACAAAGGCTGCAACGGCACATCCTCCAATCTCGCTGATGCCTCCCGAAGTATGGCTAAATCTACCATTTTGAATGCCTTTAGAGCAATTAGCCAGTGCAGCCCCCCGTAGACCTATCAGGCTGCTACTTACATCAAACCCAGCAACAATTAGAGCCCTCTGTACCCCCTTCGTCAATGACAACGTTCCGAAAGCGACATTTGGGCCCCCGTCTCCTATGTCGCCTACCCAGCTGGTCTAAGAAATATCGGAGCCTTTCTGCAAGACCACTCTCACTCCCACAACTCCATTTACACGGGTAGCTAGTTCAAAACCTGCAATACGATGTGAAATGGGAATTTCCACCTTGACTTGAGATCCCGGCGAGATATATCCGAGGGAGTAATCCCGGCAACTTTGAGTAGGAGAGTCGAAGACTTCAAAGCGAAAGCCTGCAATGAACTTCTGCGAATTGAAGCTGACCGTAGAAAGCCATAGTTTACGCACTTCACCCTTATTTACCGGCAAAATAAGTCTTCTATCAAATAGCTTCCTGCTGCCAACACGTATATATTCGTGGCCATTTGTAGATAATTGGGTCGTGATGATTTGTCCAGGACCAAGGTCACTGAGTCCTTGCTGCAGCTTTAGCCCTGAATCATTATCATCAATGTACAAATGGCCACTCAAGCCAAGGCCTTTCATGTGTTCAGCAAGCAAGGACGCATTGATACCGACAATATTCCACATTCTCTGTCGATTTTGAAGATATGCAGAGTCAACATGGCTCGACAAGGCATGCCTAATTGCGAAGTAAGCCTTTCGCCAATCTTCATCTACCGCAACCTCAATTGGCAATGCAAATCCCATTTCAAAGTCTGGGCGGAATCGACTTCACCAAAACCACTGAGGGAGTGACGTGGGACGTGCCACATAGGCAGCTGACATTGATGCCAATCGCAGACGTCCGATATCACTTGAGGGGAGCAGCTCGATAATCATATACAACACTTCAGCTGGGAGACGAGAAAATATATCCCCGGACCCTTGAAATGACCGTAAGGTTATGGAGCGGGTGGGCGCTGGGGAAACCCTGTGCCCACCACAAATGCGCAATATCTGTGCCACATTTCGAGGTGGCAAGTGCTCGGCCAGAAAGTATCTATATCCTTCATCAACGATCTTCTTGATAGGATCACCAGCAGGCTTTTGAAACTGGATTGAACCTCCAAAATCGTGGCCTGGCCGAACATAGCGGTGTCGGCTCCAGGTAGTACAATACATCAAATTATGAAATATAGACGAAAATTTACTAAGATCAGACAGCCCGTCAGGGACCCTCTGTAGCAAAATGTCCCAGCATATTGCATGGAAGAAAAAGCTCCAAGGGAGCTGGGAACCCTCATAGTAAAGGAAGTATTCTTCCAAGGTTGCACTAGCGTCGCGGTAAGAACTTTCAGGACCCAGAGGGGCAATTATACTGTCATCGGAGTCGACATATCCAACACCACTCAAAGTCGCAACATCTGAACTCTCACGGCGCGAAACTGTATCAAATTAACTTTTCAACAACGTAGGTAAAAGCTAACCGGGTAAGACGAACCGGCGCGAAGCTGTTGATACCATTGCAAGTCGTCGTCCGGTAGTACTCCAGGCGCGAAAGAGGTACGGCGAATGAGCACGCCGCATATCACACAGAAGTGGAGCATTACGGCCGGCTGCTTGATGAGTTGCAGCGAATCAATTCAAAATTGGAGGAATTCCTTTGACTGGGATCTCGGTGGATATGTAACTTTGAATAGGCGCCAACCTTCACATCCTTCAAAGATTCCCTTCTGCATGTTTTGGAATGGTTTTCATTAGCTCGTGGCCTGAACGATCTGGCTAGGGCCGTCGTCATGTGATTTATTAGGTATGAACCCGTGCGGCAGCCTGTCCCAATGTGTCAGAGCATTTATACGAGCGGCAAAGACAAGGAGGCCATAACCCAAACACTAAACGTTGCCATTGCTTAGTTGAAAGCAAATGGCCCACTTCGCTCCTATCACTGGTGACAAGCATATTTCTACTGTTGGCGATGTTTTCGGTATCGATTGAAACAACAACATTTCCAACCTAGCTCACATCAGTCGTTACTGTAAATTAGTGTATTAATAGTAGAAAGATACACGATCTCTACGTCTTGACAGAGGAGCTCTAGCACCAGGTGCATTGATACAGTTCTGTAAAGTGCAGTGTCTTTCTCGATTTGATGAACCTTACCTTCACCATCCTCTAAGCCAATAAATAATGGAAGCTCTAGAGAGGCCTACGTATTTCAAAAATAACGTTACTATTTACGCCATAATCCAAACGTGGGTACATACGATCAGAGCCACCTCATATACCTTGAATCCTAACTACTATTACCAGAATCTTGTCATATTATAGTCAGAGCTCGGCGATATAGTCACGTTCTTATTTGGTATTCCATGACATAATAAATATATAGATAATGCCGTTCTTAAACCTGGCTACGCCGATCCCCTCTCGTCCGTGAGATATATAGGTGTCTATGAAACAAATGGGTCTGGTTCCTCGCCAAGACACCCGCACTTAGGCATCATTATTGGTCGTCCAGACTGTCCAGTCAGAACAAGCGCTGTGCTTTGATTGTTGGCCACTATTCCTCCTGCAGTTAGGGCTGACACGTTGAGTTCTTATGATGTAAGCTGTCAAATATATCTCAACTCCCTCAGCATGATATTTTCTTAGGGCAACTTTACGGCGAGCAAGATTAGCACTAGGGTTGTGCGATCTCCGTTCCCGGCACAAAACTCGGTGCTAGAGATGCGATTGTCACTTGAGGCACCCTAAAAGCCTCGATGACCATTTCAGGCAAAGAAACGAATTCTCAGACAATGGCCAGTAGAAACGAGGAAAGGGGAAACGATACCTCATTAGGTAAGGTTCCCTAGCCATCTGAAGGTGTTTTACTTTACTTTCAAAACGCTAAACGTGATAGATTATGTCACTACATTATCCAAAAGCCACACAGATGCCCATGGCAACCGTGGCGGTCGTAATGTCAGAAATGAGGAGGACTAGGAGATTATATCCCATGGTGATGCGGATGAGAAGTGGCATGAGAATGAAGAGCACGAAGTGTCCCACAGAAATTGCGGGAAAGTCAGTATCATGTTGAATCTTGGACAACGAAAACTTAATCTTTTTTCCTGTGAATGGCACAAGGCCATCGAGACCCAGCATCCTGATGACTGTGATTGTGCCAGCAGGGTGTCCTCTGAACACTTCGAGGGTTAACATGGTGTTGGATTATTGCATCAGGTTTATCTCAAAAGAAAGCGGTCTAGCCATCCCAGCAATGTACTTAGAAATGTTAGTGAAATACATGGATGTGTGGTGTCCGACGCGCAAGATAAAAATTGCTCAAACAGATACTTCCGACGATACAAGTCATTCAGATAACTCAGGATTTCAGACTATTCGGGTGATTCGAATTGTATCGATGGGTATAGGCCACAAGTTGGCAATTTTCTGATCCATGCAGCGCGCCTGGTCATCCATCTAGTTTGTCCATGTATGAATTAGCAGTTCTAGTAGGAGCATTTACACTTCGTTGTCTGAGAAAGCAAATATCCCACTACGTATGCTCCGCACCTTGGTCAATCTGTCAGCATCCCACCCCCGGCATATCAAATTCTCTACGAAGCTGGACCCGGCGCGAGACTACAGGTTGCCATAATTATTATACAGATCCCTAGGCGAAGGTTCCAATTTTGTAATACGCATATGACGTTAGCTTTGCCCATATTATACTAGTTGTATATAGTAATTGACCCCACATAGCTCGATCTAATTGGCCCGTTCGTATTCCCGGTACGATTTGATTCTGAACCCTAATCGATCAAGAAGGATCGTTGCGCATAGCCTCAACTCCACGACAAATTAAACCAATATACAGCCTTTTCACCCAAAAAAACACCTGTTGCTATTCAATGTCAATATGCCGGTATACCCGGTGAATTACACCATAAAACCTCAATTCCCTGGTCCATCCAAATAACCATGAATATAAAACCCCCAACTCTCCCACATCATCCCCCCATCTACCAACACACCCATCATCGTCCACCCTAACAACCCCCATCAACCCAACCATGTCCCAGCCCAAACAACCCCCAACCCTCCTCCTAGCCCCAGGCTCCTGGCACACCCCAACTAGCCTGATCTACCTGCAAACTGCCCTCCAAAAAGCCGGCTACCCAACCCAAACAATCGCCCATCCCACCAACGGCGCAGACCCGCCCACCAAAACCCTCATCGACGACACCACCAACTTCCGCCACACCCTCGCCCATCTCATCGAGCGAGAGGGCAAAGACGTCATCCTAATCGCCCATTCCTACGGCGGCCTCGTTATCTCCAACGCGGCCGAAGGTTTTGGGAAGAAGGATCGTGCCAAGCAGGGTCAGCAGGGCGGGATTGTGCTCATGGTTTATATGACTGCATTCTTGGTGCCGAAGGGAAAAAGTCTATTTGAGGCTTTGGGGGAGTATAGGCCTGCGAATATGGTTTTGGATGTTGGTGTTTATCCTTTTTTTTCTTAAAAAAAAAGAGTTGTTGGTGTGGTTCTGTGTACCTGTGTACTGGCTAATAAAATACTTCTATATAGGGCTCATACTGCCACGCAACCTCCGCAAAAGAATCCTTCTACCATGATCTCTCACCGGAGGTGCTGGCCGAAGCAGAGGCGCAGTTGACGCATACTTGCATTGGGGCGTATACGGAGAGTGTCAATTACGAGCCCTGGCGTGATATTCCCTGTGCTTATATCTTCTGCGAGGAGGATCGGGCGCTGGGGCTGCCTGTTCAGGAGATGTTGGTTGAGATGATGAGAGGGAGTGCCCCTTTCCCGATCCTGACGCGGAGGTTGAGGGCTTCGCATTCGCCGTTCTATAGTATGCCTGTGGAGACGGCGGAGGCGATAAGATATTTTGTTCGGGAGGTTGAGGGGGTTGAGTAGGGGTTTGTTTTGATTTTGGTTGCTTTGGTTGTGGTTTGGTTCTTTGTGGTCTCAGTTGATTTATGGATAGATTAATTAGTATACTTATGCTTATGAACTTTTGTGGGTTTACATATGCTCAAGGTTAACAATGTTTGTATTCTCGCTGGTTCAAGGGTATCAACTTAGACAGTCAATTGATGTCTCAAGTACATGTTTTCAGAACACTGGTGCACGGTCAGCCACTAAGTGCTTGTCAGTTTAACTGTCACTAGTAGCAAACAAAATCAGTCAGTCAGCAAAAACAACTGAGGATATCATCTGAACAAATCCAGGAAGACTTGGTTTAGATCAGAAATAAAAAGCTCCGAGATGCAGTCAACTACAGAAACCAACCCAACGCCACTCGCAAATGAGCATCCAATGCTTGGACAAATGCTGCACATCATCATCATAAGAAATGAAACAGGAAAAACAAAGCTACAAATCACGAAGCAGGCTGCCTTCCGCAAAGGGGTTCTCTGGGGACATATCCAGCATCGGCTTCGAAGCGTTCCGGTCTCCAGTGGCTACTCCATGGCCTTTGGGCTGTCCAGGCACAGCCACGACCTGTGCAGAACGAGCTAGAAGGCTGTTTGGGATGAACGGTTCCTCGCGAGATGGCGAAGGGTCCACAGGAGTTGTCGGAGACGTAGGCGCAGTACGTGAGTACTGGTGGCGCTGCTGGCTACTGGTGCTGCGGGTGGTATTGGAGCGCTTCCGGGTTCGAACGTCCGCAGTGGGCGACGGCAACTCCGGTCGTCTCCAAGTCGTCGCAGATGGAATTACAATCCCACCAGGGACCTCCGGTCCCGTCGCAGCATCCACAAGAGGCTTTCCAACTTCAACCGTGACCCCTCGTCCTTTACGAGTGTGCTGCGGAGGTTCTTGATAGACAGGAGTCAGATCGACAAGCGGCTTGGTCTTCACGGACTGTGACCGTTTGACAATGCCACTGGGGTCCGGCGCGTGCGTGGACGTCATTGTGTTAGAGCGGCTATTTGGTCGGCTATCAGCGCGACTACCAGGGCCAGCAAACGGACGACGCGTATCCACAGCGCCGATAAGGCCATTGGTGAATGGTTCTTCCGTAGCTTTCTTCTCCTTTTCTTCTCTTTCCTTCATTGCACGTTGGCGTTGAGTATAGGTTCGACCCAGAAGACCACCGGAGGCGAAAGGGGACTCATCCGACGACTGCGCAGCGGACAAGTCACTTTCATCAGAGAGCATTTTTGGAAACGATGAGGGTGGCGGCGCGTGCTCTCGTGTGCTCTTCTTCCTGGAGAACAGTTCCTTAGTCTTGGACGCCTTTGGACGATCGGTCGGCGAGTCGCTATTCTCCGCACCAGAGTTGAGAGGAGAATCCAAGTTCAACAATGGCTTGAAGGGCTTCTTGTGAGAAGTCAAGGCATCGCTTGCGTCCGCAGGGGCATCAGCCTGGTCCGCTGGGCTGCCCGCGCCGAGCTTTGTGACCAAATACCAACTGCGCCAGGATTGAACCGCTCGATGCCACGTATCAGCAATTGCTTTATCATTGGTGGAAAAGAAATGGACAAAGTTTTCCGTCGTCAGGAACATGCTTGATTTCTGCTGGCTTTTGATTGCCTGGCAGATCTTCTTTGGCGGTTTCACATTGTTGGAGAGATAGCTGGACGTGGGCGAGTAAATGTCAAAGTCAGACAGATGACACACGTTCACGGAGTCCTGGCAGTGCTCCTTCTTGGACAAAGTGACCTGTCCGTCCGCCCGCAATGTAATGTAGCGCTTGTCCCATTTGCGCGGACGCTGGGAATAATACATGTGCAGCGTCACCTCCGTGGACTGTTCACTCGGAGCGTGTCGCGAATCCAACAAAGCGAGCGCGTCGAGGCTGGCCGCGGGTACGATGATCAACGAGTTCTCCTGATCATGGGCCCATGAGTTCATGACGTCCCGGACGCACTCGTATGTGCGCAAAGGCCGCTCCAGTCCGAGTTCCCCGAAGGATTCCATTATAATGAACTTAGGTGGGTCAATCTGGCCCGCCAGACAATCTGCAGCTAGGAACAATAGGTCTTGAGCTGTTGTGGACGGGGTAACCCGAAGATTCAGGGACGTTTTCCTATACTGAACGACAACCCTGCGCTCGCCGGCATTGACTGCGGAAACGGGCGCGTCAATCCCGGGGAAACGATTTCCCACGCTCGTATCGATCGTTGTGACCTCCTTGGTCGCTTTGTCTGTAGAGCGCGAAGGCATGGGCATTTCCTTGTTCGAAAGACGTTTCGAGTCGTGGCTAGGAGGCCGGCTTGCAGGACCTTCTGCGTCTCTGCGCGGAGGCCGCTCCTCTGGCCTTTTGATGTCTCTCTCCCGCGTCGTGTGTCTCCGATGTGGAGCTGGTACTGAAGGCTTCCGGTCCTCTCCCGTCAAACGATTCATTGCATCCTGCCGATGTTTTTGACGCACCTCTTCTTCTTCCTCGCTGTCGGTCAGGAAGGGGTTCACCGCGGTTTCTTCCACGTTGAACGCCCTCCGTCGGTTCTGAGCTCTTGCCGACATCGCATGATACGGCGCATCCACCGGTTTGACATCATCTGGGCTGCCTCGCGCGGCTTTCTGGACTGCACCACCATTCGCGTCCCCGTTTGGCTTAGCTCGGTGGGCCAGGACACGGTCTCCCGGGACCGGTAGTGGAGGCGCGTTAGGGGACGATTCTGTCGCCGCCCTCTGACGCCGGTAGCGCGACATGCTCCTCTTGATTGCAGGGTTCGTCTCATTCGCCGCAGCTGCGCCATCCTGTAGCCCGGGTCGCGATGCGCTTGGGAGACTTGGAAGAGTCGACACCGGTGGCGGTTGTATTAGGTGTGGCTTTTGCGATGCGGCCTTCCTGACAGAGCGGTAGCGGGAAAATTTCATAGGCGTTGGGCCTTGGCCGGCAGCCACCATATTTTCGGGCTTTTCCATCGCCATTGCTGCCATTGTAAATGCTTCGCTTCGCGTACGGGTTCTCAGTCCTAGCAACGTCGCAGAGACACGGCAAGCATCGCACGTAAGGGTCCGCGCCGCAGTAAAGTGTTCTCGGTAATTGACACCGAACCACTGCTTTGGTGAAATTAAGGTCCAGAGATTGGGGGATAAAAGTAAAAGAAAAAAGAATGTAAGTTAAAAATAAGTTCGACGGTGTCAGTCTTAGTCCTGCACCACAGGTCAAAGCGGTCTCTCAAGAGAATAAACACAGAGGGATCGACACACCGAGGGGACGGTCGAGTGAAATAACAATGGGGTCTGCTTCTCGTTGGATGTGACCCCCTGAACGTTGCATGTATGTTTCACAAGACGTTTGACCAGCTCATTTCCCTCCAGTCAGTACATACGGTGCATGAATTTAAAGAAAAAGGGGCAGGGTGCGTTGAGACAGGGAAGACTGAATCTCAATCAGGGCTGGAATGTGCGGAGATATAGTGCAAATCAACAGTGGGGTGGGGGGGGAGGAGAGAGTGGAGAGAGAGAAAGATGGACGAGTCTGTAGTCGAAACCAGAGTGAAAAAGGTTGCGATCAGGTGGCAAACCTGCAAGCACGATACTGCACGCGGTAAGGAGGTAGGAATTTATTCAGGTACCCTTCGCACTAGGAATATCAGGAATGTGATCTGAGTCTGAGAACGGGAGTTAGGGAGAAAAAGAAGATGAATTAGAACCGGTGAGGAATGTTGTACCTTTTTTGTTTCTCTGTTTTTTATTTTTTCCTTTTTTCTCTGTACTATTTTTAATTTGAATTTTTTAAAATTAACAACTAACACTGACAGGGCGGATTCAACGATGACAATAAAATCAGGAAATAACGGCCAGTTTCGTGGGTTTGGCGTATCGAAGCGTCTGCCTTCCACTGCCGTTGCCCCCTTCAAGTCTAGCGTCTTCCCCAAGTGAGATTAACCCCACCCAAGAAGGCATAGTGCGCTGGGGAAACATCCGCGATGCCAATTGGTATGATCGCACTCTAGGGGCTAACAGAAAAAAAAAAAAAAAAAAAAAAAAAAAAAAAAAAAAAAAAAAAAAAAAAAAAAAAAAAAAAAAAAAAAAAAAGCAACCAACCCAAGTAGAGATTCACTCGTTTAATTAGATCGTTGTGGTAGGATCGGTCTGTCTTCCAAGAAACTAGTCTCTCTTGCCCTTCCAAGTTTTGCACCTCATTAAAAAAAGAAAAAATAAATAAATCAAGAAGAAAATACAAATCTTTTATTCCCGATGTCATTGTCATCATTCCTATTATGCAATAGAGACATTATGGACAGTTCCTTTTGGATCGTAAGTACTTATCGCGCACACTCACTCCACATACATGCATCCACCAAGTCCGATACACATTGTCTGGAACGTTCTTTGTTTCTCTTTCTTTTTTTTTTTTTCTTTTTTTTTTCC